TTTCCGACGGTTTTCACCGTCGGAAATTTGCCTGTTTTCTTGTAGTGTGAGTCGATTTTGAAATTGGACGAGGTTCATGCTTCGTATGAAAAGCTAGTGAAAGAAGCAGAGGAGAGGCTTGTGAGGATTTATGAGTATGTGAGAAGAATGTCGCGGCGGAGGATGAGGAGAGCGTTGCGGCGGTGGAAGTGAATGAGGAAGTTGTGGGGATATTGCCGCATGCGTTGGGTAATCTGGTGGATCGTGTTGATATAGTCAACTACTTATCATGATTATCATGATTCTATTGGTGATATAGTCAACTACTAAATATAATATAGTTGACTACCATTATACACAGTAAAAAAGTAGTCAACTATAAATAAAAAGTGACGTATTCCATAAACTCCATTTGTATGAAAGATTATGTCTAACACTTGTGGTGCGCTCGCTTTTTTGGATAATACAGAAGTCAATGCCCCATCTGCATAGTTTTCCAAGACACATGGCCACAACTTTTCTCTTCAACCGCAAATCTGCAGTTATCTTTCATTTGTTATATACAAATAGTTAGTTATATATGATCAAAATAGTTCACTATATAGAACATTGGATTGATCTAGTTCGATAGTTATACTTTGTGGTCAACTATATAATTGAATAGCTAACTATTCGTATATAACTAGTCAACTATGTTTAATTATAAATGTTATTTAGTTAACTATCTTGATAAACATATACTACATATATGATTACAAAAATTATATAGGTAACTATATTATTACAATTGAATTAATTATTGTAAAGATTATATAATTCATTATATTATTAATTTAATAGTTAATTACAAACAACATATAAAGTAGAAATATAGTTAACTATACAATCTTTTCCTTGATTTCAAATTCCATTGACTACCACAACATAAAAAACAAGGACGTATTTAATGGCAAAAAAAAATTAGGAGATTTTTCTTACAACTTTCCTTAATAAATTATTCTTTTTTTTATTATTTTTTTGTCATTCTTTACTAAATTAAATGAAGACATTTTTGTCCAACTATTTGTTCTCTTTGTTATTCATCTAAATTTAATTACACATATGTTACTCTCCTAATTATATACACCAAGATTAATATTAAGCTAATTCACCCAATATAAAACCATCAAACATTTATACTTACTTTATTATTCAAAATAGAGTGCTCCGTAAGTTGACCGGTTCAATTCGATGATAATCCGGTATATTTTTAAAACATTG